GGTTGTTTGGTGATCTCGTTACCGCAGTGCTTTGTCAGCGTCGTTTTTAACTTTGTAAAAACAATCCAATTTTCAGCTTTAATTCTCTGCACCTTAACGTCTTCAATTGTAATAGCATGTTGCGTGCAATAAGTAAGATTATTCTCAAATTTCATTAGCTGTTCTATGCAGGTAAGTCCAGGGTAGAGCGCTCTATTTTCTTCGGTACACAGGAAATCATTACCAGCAGCAAGGGGACGACACGGTTTCGTGACTGGTAAATATTTCATCCCTTTCACCAGGAGGTAAGGATATTTTGGGAAGATGGCAATCGTTTCGTTTACAGATTCGCGGAAAATAGGTACGGAATAAACCTTAAAATAATTGTAAGTATTATTATCAGTTAACGGAATCTCCATTATAAATGCTATCTGGTTTTTCTTAAGATACGATTTTACACTTATGGTTTGTTCTAGTTTTACCAAATTAGTGTCTGTTGGTGGGTACACTAAATTTTCGGTATTCGATATTAGTTTTAAATGATCTAAAAGTTCTGTAGAATTTACTATAGATTGATGAAGTATCGATACTCTACTAAAAGCTAGAGCAGTCTCTATTTCACTTAATTTATAAAATATAGTTCGAAAATTACTTATAAATAAATTAAATAATCCAAAAATATACGTAGAGAAAACCCAGTTATTTTCTCTAGTCGTTAAATGATTTAGCATTGTCTCTACACTTTTCAAGCGTGCATCCAGCATAACGGAATTATTATTTAGGGTTTCCGTGGCATTAATAAAGCTGTCTATCATTTTGGAGACCAAGGTAAGTTTCTTAGAAATGATAATTTGGTTGTGACTTAATTCCGAAGTAAGTTTATCATATTTAAGAGCATCTTCATGATCGAGGTTTCCCGTAATAATTTTTTGAACAGAACCTAATGGATTTAAGATCCCTCTCTTAAAGCGTCGCGGCATAAGTTGTTGGAATTTTTGAACGGTTATATCGCGTATGTACTCTACATGGGTTTTAACACTGATAAATTCACGAGGGTATGGTTCCTTTACTTCAATTAGTCTACTAAGCTTATGATATTGAGCAATAATTACATTTAGGTCGTCATAAATATTCTCCAAATTTAAAATCTTTATTATAGTCCAGTGATCTGTTTGGGCATATGCTTGTCCTTGTTTTACCGGAAGTATCCCTGGGTTTTCCTCAAGTGACTGCAGATGATGGGCCAGGATCGGCTTCGCAATCATCAGTATGCACCACCTGTGGAGGGCGTTTGATATTTTTAATTGGAGCTTTAGTCTTCCTTTCACCTATTTGTATCGGCACTATATTTCTTTCGACCTTGCCTACTACCTTAGCCTTAACATAGCGCGGTTTGTCCTTACTCTTTCTTTTGTTTGTATCTTTAGCAAATATAGTTTTACCACACTGAAATACCATCTCATCTTCACCGCCTTTCTTTTTCCTAATCTTTTCTTTAATTGCTACCATATTTTCTGCTAAATATTTGTATAAGAATTTTGTTCGCTTTGCATGGTCTCTTACTAAGTGTTGTAAATACTGCTTATCAAATTCTGTATTAAACGGGCTACCCGTGTCGGTATGTCCGAAAACTACCTCGAAGGGTGTAAGTTCTGTTACCGAATGAATAGTATTATTATATGCTAGTACGGAATACGTCATAACTGATGCCGCATCAGTAGGTTTCCTTTCGTATTTTGCCAATCTGTAAACTTCTATGATTGTCGAGTGGAAGCGTTCTATAAGCCCCATCGAGCTTGGGCTATTTGGGGTGCCAATGTGTTGCTCAATTTTATAAAAGCTTAAGAATTCTTTAATTAATTCATTGTTAAATTCAGAGCCCGGATCTGAACTTATTTTTTTTGGTATCCCGTAAAAAGAAAAGTACTTCATTAAAGCTCGGACTACTTCGGGGGTGGATCTATTTGCAATTTCTATCGCTTGGCCTAATTTGCTAAATGCATCTATGAGAGTCAGATAATGTTTTCCTTCGATATTAAACAGGTCTATAAATATCTCTTGAAACGGAGCATCTTGGGTCTGGGTTAATTGAAGAATAGGTTTAATTGGCTTTCTGTCATATTTCATTTTTTTACATGCAGTGCAACTATTTATTATTGCCGAAACAGTTTCTTGTAAATTATCCCAATAGTAATTTCTGCGGATTCTAACTAGCGTCTCTTTAATACCCCGGTGACATGTCTTTCCTTCGTGATACTTAATTACAATCGCCCTTTGTTCTTTTTCGTCTTCAACAAAAATTACTCGTTCCGTGCATTCATAAAATTGAACCATGTCCTTTTTGAAAAGGTGTATAATAATATTGCTAAATTGTCTTCGATGTTCTTTTCGTTCGAAATATATAAAATATTTAATTTTAGGCCTAATATATTTCTTTAAAAATTCTTTAATTAATTCGGAATTATCTAATGGTAAAAATACTTCTAAAACTTTTTGTTTTTCCCTAGAAATATCTTTAACCTGATATTCATTTTTGAACCATGAAAATATTAATATTTGATTTGGCTTTGTATCGATAGCCTCGTGTAGTATTGGTATTCCATTTGACTCTAATTCTACGGCTGAATGCACAGTTTGGGACTTACTAGATTCTGAAGGTGATCGAATTGGATATTCGGAAACCTTTTCTGAACTACAAATTGATATTGTGTCGGAAAGAGACATAGGACTCGCGGAAACAGTACTTGAGTCTGATATTGTCACAATGGACGTTGTGTCATTATGTCTTTTATTTTGAGTGTTTAGTTTTTCAATTTCCTTAACTACGTCTTTCAGATGCTCTCTAAGTTTATACTCTTTGCTGTCGAAATTAACGTCCATCGAATGACCTTCGTCGTCTGAATTTAAGGCATTAACTTTAATTCTGGATAGGGCATCGGCATTTGTATTTTGTTTTCCATTTTTATAAATGATTTCAAAATCGTACTCCTGTAGTCGTAATCGCCATCTGGTAAGCTTACTGTTTGGTTCCTTTAATGAATAAAGCCAAACTAAGGGTCGGTGGTCAGTATAAATTACAAATTTTCGTCCGTAAAGGTACGGTCGGAAATGTTTTACGGCCCAAATAACAGCTAAAAGTTCTCGTTCTATGGTGCTGTATCTACTTTCAGTGTCACTAAGCGTCCTACTAGCGTATGCAACAGGTCTACCACTACCAATAGGTCCCTGTGATAGAACTGCTCCTAAAGCTATATTAGAGGCGTCAGTCGTCAAAATAAAGGTTTTATCGAAGTCCGGGTACTGTAATAAGGGTACACTCGTTAATATTTCTTTACATTTTTCAAACGCATTAATATATTTTTCATCGATGGTAATTTTATTTCGCTTTTTAAGGCATGCAGTTAGAGGTTGTGTGATCTTAGCAAAGTCCTTTATGAATCGTCGATAGTACCCTACCAGTCCTAAGAAACTTTTAATTTCCGTTGTTGTCTTAGGTATAGGAAAATTTAACACAGCATTAATTTTGTCTGTGTTCGGACGTAGCCCTTCTTTTGTAATGGTATGTCCTAAATATAAAACCTCTTTCCTTAAAAATTCAGACTTGTCTAATTGAACTTTTAGATTGGTCGCCCTAATTCTGTCAAATATCGTCCGTAACTTTTGTATATGTTCTTCCAGACTGGTCGAAAACACAATTATATCATCTAAGTATACCATGCAGTGTATCCCCTGTAATCCCCTGAGCACACTATCCATGGTCCGCTGAAAAGTTGCAGGAGCTGTCTTCAGGCCAAATGGCATCCTAAGAAATTCATAATGGCCGTTTTGAGTGCTAAAGGCTGTTTTTTGCCTGTCTTGTTCTTCTATTTCGGTTTGGTGATAACCACTTGCTAAGTCGATTGTACTGAAATAAGAACTCTTCCCTAACTTGTCAAATAAATCTGTTATGTTTGGTAGGGGGTATTTGTCGTCTATGGTTATGTCATTCAAACGTCGGTAGTCTATAACCATACGAAATTTAATTTCACCAGATGCATCCATTTTTTTGGGTACAAGGTGTACAGGAGCATTCCATGGCGAATGTGACTCCTGAATAACATTGTCCTTCAATAACTTGTCTACTTGCCTATTTATCTCGTCTACTTGCATTGGTGCTTGACGGTAGGGTCTAACATAAATTGGGTCTTCATTTTTTGTGCGTATCTTATGTTTAATTTCGTTAGCGAAAGTTAGTGGTAATTTGTCGCAGTAAAATATGTCTTTAAATTCTTGGCAAAGTCTAAAAATTTTGTCGCGTTCCTCATCGTTAGTATGATTAAGTCTTAGTTTAAGTAGATTATCCTCGAGTACCTTATCGATCTCTAAGTCACTATAGGTACTTGTTACGTTTATGTCACATTGAGTAGTCGTATCATACTTAGTAACTGTAAAAGGTTGTGTTACTGTCAATATCATTTCTTTGTCAAGAACGTTCTGTATGACGGTTGCGGCATAACCGTTAACGCAATTTACCAATGCACTAGGCATTCGTACACCGCTGACAAATTCCTTATAATTAATGATTGCCTCTCCAGAACATTGGTCTGTTGGCAATTTTACGCGCCGCTCTGATCGTGGTGGTAGTGTTATAACATAATTCAAGTTATTATTAACTATTGGTATGCAAGTTGTTTTAGTTTTAAGTACAAGGTCTTTAAGGTCTATAATTGTATCTAGTTGTTTCAATAGGTCATTACCAATGAGACCATCATATCGAGAGTCGACGTCATATAGATAGAATTTATGAAAATCTGAACTCTTAAAAGTGGGTGGTAGGGGGATTTCTATCACCTCATCGTGTCTGCTAGAGGCGTGGGTACTGACTACTTCGAATGGTTCGTGTGTTATATATTGGTAGAAGTGTTGATATGCTTTACGGGGGCTGATAAAAGATCTAGTACTACCTGTATCTACCATTAATTTTGCATCTATTTCAGGGATATAAATATAGGGTAACTTGAGATTCGGATCACAATTTAGTTCTATGACTTCTTGTCTCCGATGGAGGCTTTCATGTGAAAATTTTCAAGAGTTTGAGGTTGAGTTTCGTCTGCAAACTCGTCATAAGTTGTTTCGTCAACAGTTTCTTCCGGAGATGGTGTGAATTCGTTATCATATTGCTCTACATATTCGTCTGTGTCATAATACTCGTTATACTGTCCGTCATTTTCTCTTAAGGTCAACTCATTTAATCTAAAGCCGGGTTGTGGCCTTGGAGGAGCTGTCCTCATGGAAACGTCAGTCTCTTGAAAATTGGGTTTCTGAGTTTGTGGTTTATTACCAAATTGTGTAGTTGGCATATGGCCAAATTGCTGTTGAGGTCTTTGACCAAAATGATGTGGCTGAAAGCCCAGTTGTGGACGGTAACCGAACTGTTGTGGCTGAGGGCCGAGTTGTGGACGATAGCTGAACTGTTGTGGTTGCTGGCCAAGTTGTGGCCGATAACCAAATTGAGGTGGACGGTAACCTATCTGTTGCATTGGTTGAGGACGAAAGCCAGATTGTGGCATCTTAAATTGGCTTTGATTTTGAATGCCGAAATTAAATTTTGGCGTAATGTTATTTGGAAACACTGGTTTGTATCCGTATGGTTGCATTACCGTGTGAGGCGCATTACCGAATTTAAATCCTTGTATTGGAACTGATGTTTGAGGCTGCCTTAAAGCTAAACCACTACTACCGTGAACACGATTACGCATATTGTATTGATCGTGGAAGTTGACTTCCTCTAGTACAATGCTCAGCGCGTCTTCTAAAGTCGCTGGCCTCTTTAACCTCACTATCCGAACCATATTCTCGGGAAGATTGTATAGGAATACGTTTAGAGCTGTATTGTTGTAAATTGCCAATTTAGCGCTTTTAAGATTACTATCATCCGATATGTTTACTTTTGAAATTAATAATGATCGAATACTTTGAATGCGGTTACAAAAATCTTGAAAGTTTTCACCGGATTTAATCTTTAAAGATTCTAATTCAATACTAATACACTCTTCGCTACGGGGGTCTCCGAAATGTTGCGTTAGCAAATCTTTCAACTGCGACCACGACACGACATCCTCCCGTTCCGATAAGAGTGACGCCGCGTTATCTGTAAGCCTACTAGTTATAGAATGATAAACGTATAAATTTTGTTCTTCGTCACCCCTATACCTACGAATGACATATTCACATTTCCTCAAAAACAAATTTAACTGTCTTTTGTCGCCATTAAAAAGTGGAATAAGCCGTAGCATTTCTGTAGGAATGGGATTAATTACAACGGTCTGTCGTTCTGCTGCCATTGGTTGTTCCATCGTTATAGAGTAATACACGCGTCAGAGGAGTCAGTTAATATAGGGCGCAATTTTATGCAATAACACAAAATATAAGGTAGAACACACTAAAGCATATAAAAATATAATTTATAAAATAAAAGTTTATTTAAAGTATAAAATGTGTAAAAGATGTAAATGTAATGAAAAATAAAATTAAATGAAATAAAACTGTATTATATCTCTAGCATTAATAAAACATATATTCTTTAGTTATCAAGTAAAGCTTTAATTACATTTAATTTATTAATTTTATAAAATGTCTTATTTTTAGAACGTTTAATAATCTCTGTGCAAAAAGGCACTCTGTGTCCCTTATTCTTATCACCGTTACGCCTACACTAATAGAGTGTCTATTACTAAATATATTTAATTGAAAAACCAGATACGTTATAATGAGAGAAGTCCGATCTCAATAATAACAAATTTAAATAAAAATGAAGGATAATAGTGGTATCAAGGATGGTGAAAAGTTTTACTCACCAACCAGCCGCTATTCCCATGTCTTCCGCTTCCCTCGATGACAAATTTCTTTGGTTCTTGGATTTGTCCAACAGCTATTCGCGCCGCTATCACGAATTCAGGCGAATTTGGACACCTGAATATTTCGAGAGACGGTACAGCCTTTACGAACAAATCCTACCGGCTGCGCCAGTCAAATTTCGGGAACGTCGAAAGGAGTTTTTAAAAACTAAAATACAATTAGATTACTATGTCCGACCGATTTGGAGGTGGCTTTAATAATGAACGATATTCAAAGAGTCCGTTTGTGCGCAGACATGCGACTCATCAACTAAGTACTAGGAACTTACATACAAATGCTGATACATTAGTTTTACTGCTTAGTCTAAATAATACAATATTATATATTTTAATATTTTAGTCTAAAACAGAGGGACGGGGTGTATCCATAACTACATAGTCAAATTTCGGGAACGTCGAAAGGAGTTTTTAAAAACTAAAATACAATTAGATTACTATGTCCGACCGATTTGGAGGTGGCTTTAATAATGAATGATATTCAAAGAGTCCGTTTGTGCGCAGACATGCGACTCATCAACTAAGTACTAGGAACTTACATACAAATGCTGATACATTAGTTTTACTGCTTAGTCTAAATAATACAATATTATATATTTTAATATTTTAGTCTAAAACAGAGGGACGGGGTGTATCCATAACTCCTCCCTCCCTAAGAGCAAAATTATCGGTAATATCATTTTTGATGCTTTTACGATAATTTTGGATGTAAGGTATACATTTTTTTCTTAACACGTATATAAAGAACAATAAGAAACTTAAAGCTAGGAAATTTAAAATTACATATGTTAGAACACTCAAGTTAGAGTCTTTTTCTCCGTTGAGAGCACTTAAATCTGTGTAATATATTTCACTGTGTTTTAAAGCATTTGACATATATTTCACTTCATCCAAGTTGACACCATTCATGTTAATTACGCGTGTACTTGTTACATTAATATTTGCACGTAAATGAGGTAAGTTGATGACTGAAACTGGTGGCGCCGCTTCGTATTCCGTGTAAACACGGTGGTGATGAATATAAGTACCGTGTATCTCCAGGTCACAGGGCTCATCGCTGGTTAGTATATAGGTTCCAAAAATTGGTTGTTTGGTGATCTCGTTACCGCAGTGCTTTGTCAGCGTCGTTTTTAACTTTGTAAAAACAATCCAATTTTCAGCTTTAATTCGCTGCACCTTAACGTCTTCAATTGTAATAGCATGTTGCGTGCAACAAGTAAGATTATTCTCAAATTTCATTAGCTGTTCTATGCAGGTAAGTCCAGGGTAGAGCGCTCTATTTTCTTCGGTACACAGGAAATCATTACCAGCAGCAAGGGGACGACACGGTTTCGTGACTGGTAAATATTTCATCCCTTTCACCAGGAGGTAAGGATATTTTGGGAAGATGGCAATCGTTTCGTTTACAGATTCGCGGAAAATAGGTACGGAATAAACCTTAAAATAATTGTAAGTATTATTATCAGTTAACGGAATCTCCATTATAAATGCTATCTGGTTTTTCTTAAGATAAGATTTTACACTTATGGTTTGTTCTAGTTTTACCAAATTAGTTTCTGTTGGTGGGTACACTAAATTTTCGGTATTCGATATTAGTTTTAAATGATCTAAAAGTTCTGTAGAATTTACTATAGATTGATGAAGTATCGATACTCTACTAAAAGCTAGAGCAGTCTCTATTTCACTTAATTTATAAAATATAGTTCGGAAATTACTTATAAATAAATTAAATAATCCAAAAATATACGTAGAGAAAACCCAGTTATTTTCTCTAGTCGTTAAATGATTCAGCATTGTCTCTACACTTTTCAAGCGTGCATCCAGCATAACGGAATTATTATTTAGGGTTTCCGTGGCATTAATAAAGCTGTCTAACATTTTGGAGACCAAGGTAAGTTTCTTAGAAATGATAATTTGGTTGTGACTTAATTCTGAAGTAAGTTTATCATATTTAAGAGCATCTTCATGATCGAGGTTTCCCGTAATAATTTTTAGAACAGAACCTAATGGATTTAAGATCCCTCTCTTAAAGCGTCGCGGCATAAGTTGTTGGAATTTTTGGACGGTTATATCGCGTATGTACTCTACATGGGTTTTAACACTGATAAATTCACGAGGGTATGGTTCCTTTACTTCAATTAGTCTACTAAGCTTATGATATTGAGCAATAATTACATTTAGGTCGTCATAAATATTCTCTAAATTTAAAATCTTTATTATAGTCCAGTGATCTGTTTGGGCATATGCTTGTCCTTGTTTTACCGGAAGTATCCCTGGGTTTTCCTCAAGTGACTGCAGATGATGGGCCAGGATCGGCTTCGCAATCATCAGTATGCACCACCTGTGGAGGGCGTTTGATATTTTTAATTGGAGCTTTAGTCTTCCTTTCACCTATTTGTATCGGCACTATATTTCTTTCGACCTTGCCTACTACCTTAGCCTTAACATAGCGCGGTTTGTCCTTACTCTTTCTTTTGTTTGTATCTTTAGCAAATATAGTTTTACCACACTGAAATACCATCTCATCTTCACCGCCTTTCTTTTTCCTAATCTTTTCTTTAATTGCTACCATATTTTCTGCTAAATATTTGTATAAGAATTTTGTTCGCTTTGCATGGTCTCTTACTAAGTGTTGTAAATACTGCTTATCAAATTCTGTATTAAACGGGCTACCCGTGTCGGTATGTCCGAAAACTACCTCGAAGGGTGTAAGTTCTGTTACCGAATGAATAGTATTATTATATGCTAGTACGGAATACGTCATAACTGATGCCGCATCAGTAGGTTTTCTTTCGTATTTTGCCAATCTGTAAATTTCTATGATTGTCGAGTGGAAGCGTTCTATAAGCCCCATCGAGCTTGGGCTATTTGGGGTGCCAATGTGTTGCTCAATTTTATGTAAGCTTAAGAATTCTTTGATTAATTCATTGTTAAATTCAGAGCCCGGATCTGAACTTATCTTTTTTGGTATCCCGTAAAAAGAAAAGTACTTCATTAAAGCTCGGACTACTTCGGGGGTGGATCTATTTGCAATTTCTATCGCTTGGCCTAATTTGCTAAACGCATCTATGAGAGTCAGATAATGTTTTCCTTCGATATTAAACAGGTCTATAAATATCTCTTGAAACGGAGCATCTTGGGTCTGGGTTAATTGAAGAATAGGTTTAATTGGCTTTCTGTCATATTTCATTTTTTTACATGCAGTGCAACTATTTATTATTGCCGAAACAGTTTCTTGTAAATTATCCCAATAGTAATTTCTGCGGATTCTAACTAGCGTCTCTTTAATACCCCGGTGACATGTCTTTCCTTCGTGATACTTAATTACAATCGCCCTTTGTTCTTTTTCGTCTTCAACAAAAATTACTCGTTCCGTGCATTCATAAAATTGAACCATGTCCTTTTTGAAAAGGTGTATAATAATATTGCTAAATTGTCTTCGATGTTCTTTTCGTTCGAAATATATAAAATATTTAATTTTAGGCCTAATATATTTCTTTAAAAATTCTTTAATTAATTCGGAATTATCTAATGGTAAAAATACTTCTAAAACTTTTTGTTTTTTTCTAGAAGTATCTTTAACCTGATATTCATTTTTGAACCATGAAAATATTAATATTTGATTTGGCTTTGTATCGATAGCCTCGTGCAGTATTGGTATTCCATTTGACTCTAATTCTACGGCTGAATGCACAGTTTGGGACTTACTAGATTCTGAAGGTGATCGAATTGGATATTCGGAAACCTTTTCTGAACTACAAATTGATATTGTGTCGGAAAGAGACATAGGACTCGCGGAAACAGTACTTGAGTCTGATATTGTCACAATGGACGTTGTGTCATTATGTCTTTTATTTTGAGTGTTTAGTTTTTCAATTTCCTTAACTACGTCTTTCAGATGCTCTCTAAGTTTATACTCTTTGCTGTCGAAATTAACGTCCATCGAATGACCTTCGTCGTCTGAATTTAAGGCATTAACTTTAATTCTGGATAGGGCATCGGCATTTGTATTTTGTTTTCCATTTTTATAAATGATTTCAAAATCGTACTCCTGTAGTCGTAATCGCCATCTGGTAAGCTTACTGTTTGGTTCCTTTAATGAATAAAGCCAAACTAAGGGTCGGTGGTCAGTATAAATTACAAATTTTCGTCCGTAAAGGTACGGTCGGAAATGTTTTACGGCCCAAATAACAGCTAAAAGTTCTCGTTCGATGGTGCTGTATCTACTTTCAGTGTCACTAAGCGTCCTACTAGCGTATGCAACAGGTCTATCACTACCAATAGGTCCCTGTGATAGAACTGCTCCTAAAGCTATATTAGAGGCGTCAGTCGTCAAAATAAAGGTTTTATCGAAGTCCGGGTACTGTAATAAGGGTACACTCGTTAATATTTCTTTACATTTTTCATCGATGGTAATTTTATTTCGCTTTTTAAGGCATGCAGTTAGAGGTTGTGTGATCTTAGCAAAATCCTTTATGAAGCGTCGATAGTACCCTACCAGTCCTAAGAAACTTTTAATTTCCGTTGTTGTCTTAGGTATAGGAAAATTTAACACAGCATTAATTTTGTCTGTGTTAGGACGTAGCCCTTCTTTTGTAATGGTATGTCCTAAATATAAAACCTCTTTCCTTAAAAATTCAGACTTGTCTAATTGAACTTTTAGATTCGTCGCCCTAATTCTGTCAAATATCGTCCGTAACTTTTGTATATGTTCTTCCAGACTGGTCGAAAACACAATTATATCATCTAAGTATACCATGCAGTGTATCCCCTGTAATCCCCTGAGCACACTATCCATGGTCCGCTGAAAAGTTGCAGGAGCTGTCTTCAGGCCAAATGGCATCCTAAGAAATTCATAATGGCCGTTTTGAGTGCTAAAGGCTGTTTTTTGCCTGTCTTGTTCTTCTATTTCGATTTGGTGATAACCACTTGCTAAGTCGATTGTACTGAAATAAGAACTCTTCCCTAACTTGTCAAATAAATCTGTTATGTTTGGTAGTGGGTATTTGTCGTCTATGGTTATGTCATTCAAACGTCGGTAGTCTATAACCATACGAAATTTAATTTCACCAGATGCATCCATTTTTTTGGGTACAAGGTGTACAGGAGCATTCCATGGCGAATGTGACTCCTGAATAACATTGTCCTTCAATAACTTGTCTACTTGCCTATTTATCTCGTCTACTTGCATTGGTGCTTGACGATAGGGTCTTACATAAATTGGGTCTTCATTTTTTGTGCGTATCTTATGTTTAATTTCGTTAGCGAAAGTTAGTGGTAATTTGTCGCAGTAAAATATGTCTTTAAATTCTTGGCAAAGTCTAAAAATTTTGTCGCGTTCCTCATCGTTAGTATGATTAAGTCTTAGTTTAAGTAGATTATCCTCGAGTACCTTATCGATCTCTAAGTCACTATAGGTACTTGTTAAGTTTATGTCACATTGAGTAGTCGTATCATACTTAGTAACTGTAAAAGGTCGTGTTACTGTCAATATCATTTCTTTGTCAAGAACGTTCTGTATGACGGTTGCGGCATAACCGTTAACGCAATTTACCAATGCACTAGGCATTCGTACACCGCTGACAAATTCCTTATAATTAATAATTGCCTCTCCAGAACATTGGTCTGTTGGCAATTTTACGCGCCGCTCTGATCGTGGTGGTAGTGTTATAATATAATTCAAGTTATTATTAACTATTGGTATGCAAGTTGTTTTAGTTTTAAGTACAAGGTCTTTAAGGTCTATAATTGTATCTAGTTGTTTCAATAGGTCATTACCAATGAGACCATCATATCGAGAGTCGACGTCATATAGATAGAATTTATGAAAATCTGAACTCTTAAAAGTGGGTGGTAGGGGGATTTCTATCACCTCATCGTGTCTGCTAGAGGCGTGGGTACTGACTACTTCGAATGGTTCGTGTGTTATATATTGGTAGAAGTGTCGATATGCTTTACGGGGGCTGATAAAAGATCTAGTACTACCTGTATCTACCATTAATTTTGCATCTATTTCAGGGATATAAATATAGGGTAACTTGAGATTCGGATCACAATTTAGTTCTATGACTTCTTGTCTCCGATGGAGGCTTTCATGTGAAAATTTTCAAGAGTTTGAGGTTGACTTTCTTCTGCAAACTCGTCATAAGTTGTTTCGTCAACAGTTTCTTCCGGAGATGGTGTGAATTCGTTATCATATTGCTCTACATATTCGTCTGTGTCATAATACTCGTTATACTGTCCGTCATTTTCTCTTAAGGTCAACTCATTTAATCTAAAGCCGGGTTGTGGCCTTGGAGGAGCTGTCCTCATGGAAACGTCAGTCTCTTGAAAATTGGGTTTCTGAGTTTGTGGTTTATTACCAAATTGTGTAGTTGGCATATGGCCAAATTGCTGTTGAGGTCTTTGACCAAAATGATGTGGCTGAAAGCCCAGTTGTGGACGGTAACCGAACTGTTGTGGCTGAGGGCCGAGTTGTGGACGATAGCTGAACTGTTGTGGTTGCTGGCCAAGTTGTGGCCGATAACCAAATTGAGGTGGACGGTAACCTATCTGTTGCATTGGTTGAGGACGAAAGCCAGATTGGGGCATCTTAAATTGGCTTTGATTTGGAATGCCGAAATTAAATTTTGGTGTAATGTTATTTGGAAACACTGGTTTGTATCCGTATGGTTGCATTACCGTGTGAGGCGCACTACCGAATTTAAATCCTTGTATTGGAACTGATGTTTGAGGCTGCCTTAAAGCTAAACCACTACTACCGTGAACACGATTACGCATATTGTATTGATCGTGGAAGTTGACTTCCTCTAGTACAATGCTCAGCGCGTCTTCTAAAGTCGCTGGCCTCTTTAACCTCACTATCCGAACCATATTCTCGGGAAGATTGTATAGGAATACGTTTAGAGCTGTATTGTTGTAAATTGCCAATTTAGCGCTTTTAAGATTACTATCATCCGATATGTTTACTTTTGAAATTAATAATGATCGAATACTTTGAATGCGGTTACAAAAATCTTGAAAGTTTTCACCAGATTTAATCTTTAAAGATTCTAATTCAATACTAATACACTCTTCGCTACGGGGGTCTCCGAAATGTTGCGTTAGCAAATCTTTCAACTGCGACCACGACACGACATCCTCCCGTTCCGATAAGAGTGACGCCGCGTTATCTGTAAGCCTACTAGTTATAGAATGATAAACGTATAAATTTTGTTCTTCGTCACCCCTATACCTACGAATGACATATTCACATTTCCTCAAAAACAAATTTAACTGTCTTTTGTCACCATTAAAAAGTGGAATAAGCCGTAGCATTTCTGTAGGAATGGGATTAATTACAACGGTCTGTCGTTCTGCTGCCATTGGTTGTTCCATCGTTATAGAGTAATACACGCGTCAGAGGAGTCAGTTAATATAGGGCGCAACTTTATGCAATAACACAAAATATAAGGTAGAACACACTAAAGCATATAAAAATATAATTTATAAAATAAAAGTTTATTTAAAGTATAAAATGTGTAAAAGATGTAAATGTAATGAAAAATAAAATTAAATGAAATAAAACTGTATTATATCTCTAGCATTAATAAAACATATATTCTTTAGTTATCAAGTAAAGCTTTAATTACATTTAATTTATTAATTTTGTAAAATGTCTTATTTTTAGAACGTTTAATAATCTCTGTGCAAAAAGGCACTCTGTGTCCCTTATTCTTATCACCGTTACGCCTACACTAATAGAGTGTCTATTACTAAATATATTTAATTGAAAAACCAGATACGTTATAATGAGAGAAGTCCGATCTCAATAATAACAAATTTAAATAAAAATGAAGGATAATAGTGGTATCAAGGATGGTGAAAAGTTTTACTCACCAACCAGCCGCTATTCCCATGTCTTCCGCTTCCCTCGATGACAAATTTCTTTGGTTCTTGGATTTGTCCAACAGCTATTCGCGCCGCTATCACGAATTCAGGCGAATTTGGACACCTGAATATTTCGAGAGACGGTACAGCCTTTACGAACAAATCCTACCGGCTGCGCCAGTCAAATTTCGGGAACGTCGAAAGGAGTTTTTAAAAACTAAAATACAATTAGATTACTATGTCCGACCGATTTGGAGGTGGCTTTAATAATGAATGATATTCAAAGAGTCCGTTTGTGCGCAGACATGCGACTCATCAACTAAGTACTAGGAACTTACATACAAATGCTGATACATTAGTTTTACTGCTTAGTCTAAATAATACAATATTATATATTTTAATATTTTAGTCTAAAACAGAGGGACGGGGTGTATCCATAACTACATATAAGCAAACACTACACCACCTGATGGTAAGTGGTTGCTGTGGCCCATTGACATCTACATCTATCCTCTGTTACAAATCAAAATGTAGATGCGTTGTCACCCGTGAGGACTAAGAAGGAATGCCTCATTTCCAGTAAAAAGGGCCTCCGGCCACCTGCACTCACCAAGCGAAACGCAGAGGTAAACTTCACGCTGGTTTTCTGTAAGGTCGTGGTACTACCCCGGTTCGAGCCGGCCCATCCGTGAGACAGCAAAAGCTGCCACGTGGCACAGTGGTAGACACTGTTAATTAAGTAATTCGTTATATTGAGGTTTGTTATATAGAGGGTAGGTGGAACTACAATTCGTTTTAACGAGGTAAGAAAACTTGTTTATTAATTTCACTGTTACGTAAATAGTCATCTGCCTGTCATGTACGTGTCTGAACCTGTCATGACATGACAGGACATTTATTGCGGAATTAGGTAGGAATAATTAATAGGATATGTTATGTCAAGATTTCAAGTTAAAAAAATTGGTTAAATAGAGGTAAATAATACCTTATATATATATAAATGATTAAAAATTCGTTATAAGGATGTGTTTGATAAAATCGTAAATTAAAATAGTAACGTCGTTATGTAGAATTATATTTTGCGTTAGCTCTTACAGGCAGTTCTAGAGGATTTCGAAAAATTCGTTAAATCGAGGAATTCGTTATATTGAGGCTTGTTAAGGTTACACTGTATTACTATGTTAAATTAATTAGCGACATGTAATCTATAAATTGCAGATGTGTTATTTTCATTAATTCAATACACTTCAAAAATATGAAAGCAAATTTAGTATCGTTTATCATATTTTATTTTAATTTCCATATCATCAAATAGTTCTTGATAAGTATCTTGCATATATTATATATTATGTAGTATATTACATACTAATTAATCTATTAATATTTTTTAAAGTAAATTCAATTAATTTTTATTTACTGACATTCAATAAACTCATCTTTTTTTATTAGATCTACTGAAAAATTAAAAAAGAACTAACGAACTAAATGAGCGAACTAGTTCGCTATAGGACAACGAACTATATTGAGCGCTCCCAACGGCGACCGACTATGCCCAAGACTACACCATTCCTGTTCCTGTATAGGACAGTTACTATACTCTTTGCATTCCTGTATAGGACAGTTACTATACTCTTTGATTTACACAGAGTCACAGTCACAGAGTACTTTTTATAAACTGAAATAGAGACCAATTTCCGACACCAAAATGAGCAACGTGTTTTAGCGACATCTGGATTTTGTTATTGGCAACTTTTCAACGAAAATAATTTTTTAATAGATGATATTTTAATTATTTGATATTGAAAATTCTGCGCTGAATTAATTAATATTGGTAGCTAATCGACTAATTATGTTATAGATAGAAGATTAGCTACCAATGTCAATTCAGCGCTGAAAAAAGACAAACTATGCGTAAAATATAAGGCTTCACAGAAATAAAACAATAAATACTTTTAAATTTTTATCTTTTATTTTTCAAAAACTTTTTACAATAAGAGTGAGCCGTTAATTGTATACTATCATTATTGTCATCCACGCACCTTTTGCCAAAAATAATTTTATTTATATCTTTACAATAGTTATACATAAAGAAAATAATAATTTGGTCAATCAAAAATTCTCTCAACTTTATTTTATGAACAGGACAATCATGATAATTTAAATTTATATGGCATGAAGCTGTAACTTTTGTGTACTCTTTTAAGAGTACTTTTTTTATATAGGAAATTTATTTATCTATGTTCTTCTTCTTAATAACTGGCTTTACGGCTCTGGGATCTAGCCCTTCTAAGCCTGAAGTTACAATATTATATTATAATAATTATTCTTCATAGTATACTGCTTCACAATATGTTCATGCGTCACATTGTGCAGCCCTTGGGAGATTTTGACGGTAACTTGAGCCAGCAGACAGCTGACGGTTGGCGATGGTATCTCAAGGCGCCTAAGCAGATAGACACCTTATTTTGAGAATCACATCACTATCAGAGCACTTGTTTCACAGTTTCCACTAATAGTTCACATGCGCAGACACTTAATACATAAAATCGCACCACTTTTACATATCAAAGTCCACTTCAAACCATTATTTAAACAATAAAACAGGAGCAGCAAACCACCGCCGGTCAAGTTCCGGCCTAAACTCCTTATTTATCTATGAACGAACTCCGATCCATGGAGTATAGAGTTGTACTCTATACTCCATGCTCCTATCCAAAGACTACAATATCTATAATTTTATATATTACCAACTCCAAAAAAAATTATTCAAAAACCCCTAAAACCACCTTATTTACTTGGAAATAAGTGCAAACCTTTGTAATGTTCTGAAAATATAAATTATTTAATATTTCAAACATTATTTCATTTTCGTCTGATGGTTCCGACATATTAAAATCATAAATTTGGATATTTAATAAACATACATTTTAGTTAATGAATTAAAATATGTTATAAATGATGCGACATCTCGTAGCAATGTGAATCAGATGCTCATAACAAAAAATTGCAACCGTGGTAATCAATGCAAAATATACAATCCGAATTTTAAAACATTTTCAAAAGGTAAACCTTTTGAAAATGTTTTAAAATTAGAAAGTAATTAGAGAATGGTTTAGATTCACAATTGAACATCGTAGAGATCCAGAAATCAACCATGCGTAGCCGGTGTGGATCGCTAGTATATGATAAAGGAGTATGGTAATCCGGCCATGATTTTTGTGTATTCTGTTGCCTTCATGTGCATTCGATGATTGACATGAATGACAAGTCGAATACCTCTGCTCAAGATTTAGTAATAGCATGCTTTACAACGAGTACAGAATTTGGCTTCTTAACCACTATTAATACTATCTATTCAGTTTCTTAATAACAAATGAACAGCATTTTCTATTATTATTTATAGAAAGAAGATCTGTAAACCATTACAGAAAACCTACATTCATTTCTTAAATTTCAATTTCAGCTGAAAGGAAAATAAGAAAAAGAGATTCGTTCTAATATATATTTTTTTATACCAAATAATATTTCATTTTGTATAAAAAATATATGTAAATATATGTAGTATGATGAATACAAAAATATGTTAATTTATTAAAATATACTGAAATATTTTCCACTACCTTGATTTTCTAGTGTTCGATGCATAGAGCAACACGGGCTACCGACGTACTGGAGGAGAGTAGCCATAGCGATTTCCCCGATATTATGGCGGGTAAAGTAAGGAGGACCATCTTATGTAGAGACAAGTCGAAAAAGTTTCTACCTGTAAGCAGCAAATTATAGATCAAGAACTAAACATCTTCATAAATGATAAAAATTTTAGCATAATCTATCGCGCATCACTTTTAAGACCTTTAGGCATTTTATTGACACTTTTTTCACACACCTGATAGCTTAGAATAAACTTATAAGCACTATACTTATGTTGTTGATTTGTTATTTGTGATCAATGATGTCCAGATTTCTTTTTTTTTTGCACTAATTGAAAATAAAATAATGCTGTTTAAATATTCTGTTATGGTTAACCGGCGGGATTGGTAGTAGACATAATATTGCCTTTTTTTTATTTTTTATTATTTTTTTTTATTATAATATATACGTGTTATTTTGATATTTACTTATATTTTATATTGTACTTATTTATGTATATTTGTTTATAATGTCCGATGATGAATCATTCTATTCTGCTAACGATTCTTCAACAAGCCTTGACTCTTTCGATGAGCCGGAAACTCTCCGCAACGTGCTTGATAAATCTTTGGAACATCTCCCCTCTTCTTTTAAAGTCTGCCATTTGAATGCACAGAGCATACCCTCTCATTACTCCGATCTTTTAGATACTTTCACTTCTGCCTCTTCAAATGTGCAGGCCATTCTAATTTCTGAAAGCTGGCTGAAGCCCTCTCTTTCAAATGTTTCTTACAGCTTACCAGGCTTTATCTTGATTAGAAATGATAGATTAGGTAAGGGTGGGGGAGGTGTTGCAATTTATCTACGGTCCGACTTAC